TGCGCAAAGGCCTTTCGTCTAGAATGTTCCAACCAATGAAATGTAGGCCTTACAGAATTCTACATTTGTAGTGCCAATGTCGAGTCCTACAGCACTACAAATGCTAATAGGGTTATATTGCCTGAGTTACAGGGGGGATTATAGACACACCCAGTTACCGCTTTCTTATTGTGTGGGAGGATGACTGAAATAAAACAAACACTTCCAGAAAAGGACGAAATGCTTAGATGAAACTGGAAGTGTACAAAGGATGATTTAAAAAGGCAACCACCACTACGCTTTTCAATGCGGTCTTGTCGGTACAAACTATAATTATCTATGGCGAGCGTCAAATCAGAAATAAGAGAGTGTCCAAGATTCCGTGATACAGAGCACATCTGTTTCAAGCTCAAATGCTACTGTTTTCAGTTCTGTCGTCTTATTAACAACTGATCTCGCATTGAGTGAGTCTATATTGAGCGTATCCTTCAGTTGCAGGTTACGCTCGTCAGCATTTATAAAAAAGGAAAACTCGGTGGCGGAAAGGGAAACTGCATGGGAGAAAAAAAAGGTGGAAATTAAATTGGCCCTGGTCTACAGTTTGTCGAGTAATTATTATCAAATGAACTATAACTATTGTAGAAAGGCATATTAGAGGGGGATAGATAGAAAGGACGGCTGAATTGTGGGAAGACCAGGGGGCATACAAATAGGATTTTGAGGCCTTATATCATAATTTTTCTCCTAAAATTGCATAACTGGTTTTGAAAAACGGTTTACCTTATTAGCTGACTAATTATTTGGGGATGTTGATGCGCTTTTGGGTTAGGAAAAACGCTAGCTTGAGCGTTTGCATCTGTTTTAGATACTGAGTTGTTATCAGTAATCAAATTTCCGAATTTGACAACTGACGTAGATTAACTAGGGGCGTTCATAGGTTTACTGGAATTTAAAGCTATGTCAGACGTGGTTGGCTTGAAAGGGAAATGACTTGGCGATGCTACAATTTCACTCGAATCAGGAGTAAGGTGAATGGCAGAAGTATCAGGTGAGATTAAAATTGATCCAGGGGGACGTGGGCTTACCTGATCTAGAGGGCCGGCCTCAGGGACAACTTTTGGTAATGTTGACGTTGAGGTATGCTCCTCATTTGCTAATTTGGGTAAAACCCAACGCTCCATTGGCGTTTTATCTCTGTATAGAAAATAACGTCTAATTCTATCGCCGAAAAAAGTTTTACGAGAATCGGCGGGTTTTTACTTCGAGATAGAGTCTTTTAGCTTCTGCAAATTTAAAATTAGAGCCACAAGAGTAAATAAACTGGAGCGCAACATCTAAACGTTGTTTATCTTTTGAAACATTTTTCAAAAGAAAGTAAAAAATTTCTTTTTTTGCCGATCACGGATCTCAGTAGACACCATATTGACGAAAGGCTCTAG